ACGTGTAAGATTCGTCCAATGATTAACCGTCAGTTATTTTTCATAAATACGTGAATTATTTGAACTTATAGCCATTATTGTAATATTATATTTATATGAAATGGTCAGTAGAAAAGTGATGAGTTAATATTCAAAAGCAAGTGATTATCGATTATAAAATATTATTTTATTAAAATTTTATTTATTAATAATTATAAAAATGTATTTAAAGTATAAATTAATTTTTTATTAATTTTTTGACTATTAAAATTTATAAAATAATTATTCAATTATTTATATGTTTTAAACTCATTATTTTTCTTTAAAAATTAATTGATGCTAAATTAAGTGTTAAACTATTGATTAAAATATGTCAAAAAACATTTTATTGGTCGATCATTGGATCGTCATCATAATGTTTCAAATACTGCCACGATAAAAGGAGAGTCGGTTTATAAAATATAATTCAAATAATTATTGGATCAAATTTTATTATATTTATATTATAGTCGACATGCTAACATCCACTTCAAACGATCACTATTTTTAATAAAAATTGATAATTTAAAACATATAAATAATTATGTAATCTTTTTATAATTGTGAATAGTAAAAAGATTAATAAAATAACATATTATATTTTTTATAATTTTTAATGGTTAGAAGATTCAATAAAATAATCTCTTTACGGTGGATGAATCATGTGTGTATTTTACCCTATTAAAATATAAAAATGCAATATGCTTCGACTATTATAATTTTTAAATTATTAATTTTCCTGTACACTACAATACCATGTGACGAGGACCCTACAGATATTAATAATAGTATTAATTTTATGTTTGAGTAGTTAACTTGCTCTCTTTTTATTTTTCTTGTTATCGTTCATTTCAAGTAATATATAATTTTGGATTATAAATATATTTCTTTTAATAATCGAAAATGAGTATAAGTAATTTTTATTAGTTTTTAAAAATATGTATTAGCTTTGTAGATATAATTTTCTGAATTTATTTTTTTTAAAATACTTATTTTTATTATTGAAATCGATTGATGTGATCGAATTATATATATACATATGTCTGCACGTGGCAAATATTCCCTATCGTTGTTGATTTGAAGCTGGGCAAGATATGGCAAGGCAAGGCATGTATGTGTCCACAAATCATTACTTTCATCCAATGAATTATAACAATTCATTTCTTTCAATTTTATAAATAAGAACAGGAAATTGACTCGTATTTATAATTAATTTAAAAAAATCAATGAGAGATGTGACGTGTTTCCTACTTGTATTTATAGGATATAAAATATTCCTACTCGCTATATTAAATAATAATTATATATAATAAATATAAAATTAAATTAAATTAAATTAAGGAAATAATTTTGTTGGTAAAAAAGTTAAAATAACAATCATAAAAGTTATAAGAGAAATAAGGTAAATTACCAACAAGTTGGTTTAGTGAGATGATATTAGATCCCTTAAGTAAGATCAGATGTTCAAATCTTGGCTATTACGAACGGAGCAAATTGGGTTAGGAGGATCGCCCTTAGCTCTGTAATATTCGATCCGAATTAGTTGATCAATAAATCGAATACTGATGGTTATAAAAAAAAAAGATAAATATGGTGGATTTTACAATAGTAGGTAAAGTTGGGTTTTGATGTATTGTCACTATTTCCGTTCTAAAAATAATATATTTTATTTTTTTTTAAATTTATTTTTCAGTTTTTTTAATAATTGTAAATCGTCAACTCTGTTCATTTTTTTATCCATTGGACTTGCAATTTTGATTTATTTTACGTAAATATATCATTGTTTATGATTTGATGCATGTAATTTTACTGTAAAAGTTTGATTTCTAATTTTCTATTTTCTCTTCAACAACTTATGTCTCCTATTTTACCTAAATGAATAATGCAGAAAAAAATGTAATAATTTACCATAAAACGAGACAAGAGGACATGAAATTATGATGGCCACCCACCACCAAGCTGGTACCATCAGTTCATATTTTAGTTTAAATCCAAAAACAACAATTCTCTGCTTAGCAGTGTAGCTTGGGGGATGTGACATTGGAGAGCTATGAAAGGAAGGGGACAACAAATAATAGAAAGGAATGTAACAATCACATGGGGATTAATAGAGCACATGTGAAACTTGGTTTCTTTAGATTATGTCTTTTTCTTCGAGGGGTCCTCGGGTCCTGTAATGAGAATTTTCCGCATCTGATATGTTCATTCCCAATCCCCCACTGCTTCCTTTGCCAAAATCATATTTCAACACTTCTCTATTTTGGTTTCTTTTACCTGCAAAATTCATCATTTTAAGTCGCTTTTTGAAACAAATTAGTATTACACATTCCAGTTCTCAGTCAGGGAACGACGCGGGGGGGGGGGTGTCTGGTGAAAATTACAAGTAGTCAAGAACCCTCCAAATACATGGTAAACCTTTTAAAAAATTGAAAACTAAACTCGAGTCCGAACAACATAGATGGGTTTACAATTTCTTTAAACTTGTGAATGCAGAACCCTACGTTGAGCAGGAAAATTGGAAAGAACAAAGCATTTTAGAGATGCAATCTCCGTGTAAAGAGAGAAGAACTATTGTCATTGAGCGAAGAAATAGTCAATAAATAAATTAAGAAAAAAACTAGGGTTTTCGTAAACCATCTATTCACTCAACAGAACAAATATGGCAAGTACAGAGCAGACAGAAATGCAGATCTCAAATGACAATTAAGAACTGCAAAATGGAATCCGTAATAGAATAATTTAACTATTTACTCAGATCATGGGGCTCAATTGCAAAGATGAATTTTGATGATATAATGGTCCTAAATACAGGCAATGAGAAAAGAGGTTCAGGTTGAAAGAAGAAACTGATAGAAGAGTTATAAGCCATAGTTTCAACTTCATTTCTCGGTTGAAGCATGCTCCAATTAGCACTGAAATTTGGACGGAGATGAACTTGGTAATGATATATGCGATACATAAAAAATCAACCAAACTCCAAAGTTGTATCTTTATATCTAAAGATACTCTTTATTTTTCTTGAAGTGCTGGCGGCCTGTTCTTACGTGCTAGACATGTCTGCAAGTGTGGGATATAACTTCTCAAATGCATGAAGAAAACTTAAAAAAAAAAATGAACATGCCGTATCCGAAATGACATAGGTGAGTGAAAGCTACCCGTTTCCAACATATATCAACCAAGGATTCAAAGATATGACTTGTGAAATACATGAAAAACTTAGAACACTCGGTCCAACTAACAGATGTAAGTGGAAGCTACATAGCAAAATGCTACTCAACTTGTCCTTGATAATTGCATACAGATTTTTTTTTACCAAAGCCTCAATTTCACCTCAAAAGCATCTTTCAGTATTGAATGAAAACACAGAACAGACTGAATATATCCGTGTCAGAGATATACACATTCAAGACTTGTATCCAACCTAGTAACACAGGTAAACGGAAGCTACATTGCAAAATATTAATCAACTTGCTTCAAAACAATATGAGAGTAACGAACGGGTAAGTGGAAATTTAAACAACATATAATTCTCATCAGATGAAGCCTTCAAATCATCCAAGACACATCATCGCGATCAGGCCACGGCGGAGTCCGTCGAGGCCCGGTAGAGTAAGGAGGACCAACATGATTGTTTCTGCACCCCCGGCGTACCCTAACACGACCCATTCCAGAGCCATTTCGAAGATGATTTTTGGGTGGAGATCAGTAAAGATTAGATATGATTTTTCTAAGTTCATTAAAAAATCATCATATATTTTGATCATACAATTAAAAAATTAAAGGTAATGTTTTTTTTTGTTACAAAAGTAACACTGGAGCAATCAGTGTGTATCACTCCTCCTCGTGGAAGGCATTTCTGAAGTATAAATACTTTGAGCTTGGCGCGGCGGTTGCATAAACACAGTCAAGCTATGGTCTCCATCTTGGCCAATTTGTGCCATCTTGTCAGCCAGCTGGTTGGCTCCCCTGGGTATATAAAAATTCATTTTCTTTCTATATTGATTTTGGTCTCTAGTTTCTAAAAAATATTTAAATTTTAACTTTTTATTTTAAACTAAAATAATATTTATTAGATTTAATTATTAATTAATTAACGGTCAACGTTTGTTATAACATGGTATATTTTATATACTTAAAATATAAACTTGATAATTACTTGTACATAAGTAATAACATGACATATGACATGTGTCCAAAATAATGATGTGACATTTTATGTTATGAACACATTTTTTGTATTGATTTTGAATGAATTTCGTGAAAAATCAATATTAGGAGAAGAAAGATGGATGAAATGTGAACGCTTTAGTACCAATACTGATACAAAGATGATCTGTGATAGACAATGATTGATTAGGTATTGACGACGGTCGAAAAAGTACAAGCCAACAAGTAAATTATTTAAAAAATTAGTGACAAAATCGATACACTCTTAAATTTAAGTACTTAAAACAACATTATTTTAATCATTAGTAGCCACATCAAAACATTGTCATTTTGCCCATATCATAACACGATTTGGGTCTTAACAATTTAATGATACAATTCAAGTTGAAACTAAATTTAATGCTATAATTAAAAATTTTAAAAATTCAATGATATAAATCATGCATCAACTAAATTTAATATATTATATTTCTTATTTTTATAAAGTATTTTAAACAATATCAGGGTCATTTGGGTCACATTTTTTTCTCATCAGACTCGGATTTTTTAAAATATTTATTTTTAACACATATATTCAAACATGAATATTAAATATAATTTAAAGAATTTATTAAATATATTATCGGTGTAGAATAATTTTACAAGTGGTATTAAGATGACGACAAATATTCTAAATATTTGTCCAGAAATAAAAAAAAAATCACAATACTTATCATCTTAAGACCCCACTCATAAAATTATAATTTTACAAACAATATATAAAATAATTATTATTAAGAAATATTTTTGAGAAATACATAGATTTTGCTGGGAACAATGAAAATAGAGAGATTTGGTGCTTTGTTGTTGGTGCTACAAAGAGTTGACTCTTTGAACCAGAATGTCCAAGGCTTCTTTCATCCACCAATGCTGGCAAACGTCCCTTGCTTCTTTCACATTCATCTAATTCAAGTTAAATCTTTTTCTTAAATACCAATATATATATATTTGATATAAATATAATTATTTTTTAAAAAATATATATTATGGATAAGAAAAATAAATAAATAAATAAAGTGAGAGAGAATAGGTTACCCATGCTCTTTGGCGGACGTGCTGCTCAGGCCAAAAGTCGAGCTCTTCCTTGACCAGCAAAGGAAACATGCAACCTTCATAAAATGTGCCATGGTTTTTGCTTATGAAGTACCATTTCCCCAACTCACACTGTTCGTTTTCCAGCCATAATTTAACCATTTTAGTTCAATAAAAACCACAACGCATCAAATATTTATATTTATATTTTCAAAATAAAATAAATTTGGGTAATAAATTAGAATATTCAAATGCAAATCTTATCTAAATAAAAAATGAAATAAATATCTACGTATGTAAGCAAAAGCAGTATTAAGAGTTGAATTAATTAATAAAACCGACCTCAACGTTGCCTAAAACACCAGCTTCTTCAATTGATTCTCTTAAAGCAGCTTCCTCTATGGATTCGTCAATCTCCCAACCTCCCTGTTCATTTTCAATACGTCAGATTTAGGGTTAGTCTGCTCAAACAAATTTAATAATTAATTCTTTAATTTGTCTATTTTTTTTTAATAAAAAAAAAGGAGAAATGGATGAATATATACCTTAGGAAACATCATTTTAGGACCTTTCTGGGAGGAGATGACAAGAACTTCCAAATCATTAGTAATGGTTCCGTCGGTGCGACATTTGAATCTATAGGGAATGCAGCTGCAAAAAAATTCACCCGATTTTTGAACAAATTAAATCAAATTTCTCAAAGCCAAACAGATTTCCGGCCCAGACAGACAGAGAGATGCGACTCACCCGACAACTTGGCGGCGGCCGAGGTTGTCGTATCGCTGCAATTCCCTTCCGGTTCGAGCAACCATGCACATCATCAAAATAAATTCCAAGGTTTCCAAGATCACGTTGAAGAGGATGAAAACTCTGGAATATTACGGGCTATTTATACGAACATCACAAAGGGGTGTCGGAAAATGGTTAAACCCAAATATAATTCATGGCAAATTGTAAATAAGATGGTTATTTCTAGAAGAAGAAGAAAAAAAAACAGATTAATTAGCTATTTTATTTTTATTAATCAATTCATCATACCAAGTATAAAAACAAATTATACACTTTTAGTTTCCATGAGTTAAATTAGAAAGATGATATATTTAGTTTTAAAACAGAAATTATTAAATGCATTTTATAAATTATTTTAAAATTCATTAATTGATTTAAGTGATAAAATATATTATTTTTTAAAAATTTAAATTTAAACAATCACATCTATATAAAATGTATGAATGTTGTCGGTAGTTTATTTTTTAATAAAATTTCATTTTATAATCATTCTAGATTATTTAAAATAAAAATTATTGTGCACTTTGTTGGTTGAGTATGTATTCTAGAAAATAAAGTTTAAAATTGATTTTTAGCTATATAATAATGTTTATAATTAATAAAAAATAATGTTTATAAAAGCATAATTTAATATTTGAATTCTTGTTAGAAAACAATCCTTATATTAAAAATGTGTTTAGTATTACCGTATTTTTCAACTTAAAAAAGTTCATAAATGATAAATATTAAAATTTAAAAGTAAATCGTCAGAATATATTTTTATTAAAATCATTTCTTAAAAATAACTTATTAATATTTTTACATTTCTATTATTATGTTTAAAAAAAATATTCTATGCATGTTGGATCTTGAATTGGAAACTGACGTAAAGCCAAGGAGAAATTGGTTACAGCACTGTTAGCTTCAGTTGGGGCTCTGCTGATGTGATTGTACCTGCTTTGCATTTTCATTTAGTGTATGCTGTTGGCTTAGGTTGTTTCTAAGTCTAGCCGACAGTATTGCATATGCCATTATTCAATAAAACCACTCGTATTGTTGTTAAGGGAGATCGTTTTTTCTGTTGATTATTTTAATTTTTCTTTAAGTTTCTTTCTTTCATGTTTTGATATTCGAAATTGTTGGTGTGTTAAGTTTATGTGCGTCGTTGTTCCACTTGTTAATAATTTTGTTTATCAGGTTATCACTATGTAATCATTGTTATATTTTATTTTCAATAGTCTTATTTAGTCTGTAATTGACAAGACTTTATTAATACAATTTTTAATAAATAAAACATATCGATTATTTTTAAATATAAAAAAAAAAAAATAAACCACTCATACTCTTTTCCTTCTTTTAATATCTCCAACCGAGTCGTAGGTTTCGGTTTTAAAGGGTCCAATTTACTTTAGAGAGGGAGGAGAGAGAGGGGAGAGAGGGAGAGATAGAGGGAGGAGAGGGAGAGGGAGAGGAGAGAGAGAGAGAGAGAGAGAGAGGGAGAGGGAGAGAGAGGGAGAGAGAAAGAGAGGGAAAGGGAGAGGGGAGCGAGAGAGAGGGAGAGAGAGAGAGAGAGAGGGTTTAGTTTTAATTAACGTGAGTCAGGATGAGAGAGAGAGAGGGTTTAGTTTTAGTTAACATGAGTCAGGATGAGAGTGACCCAAAGATGGATAGAGGAGGCTATTAGGAGTATTTTTATTCTTGAAATTTTTAAAAATTTATGTAGTTTAAGGTTTTTAATATTTTACATCTAAATATTTTTATAATTTTTATATTTTACATCTAAAATTTATTACTAAAATAGATCAAAATTAATAGTTTAGGTACTAAATATATTAAACTTTTAACGACATTAATACTAAAATGAAATAAAAATTAAATATTAAGTATGATTTAAAAAAATAAATTTTAAGTATTAAAATTGATAAAAACTGATAGTTTAGGTATTAAGTGCGTAGTTTACCTTATTATTTAAGATCAAATTATTAACGTCATAAAAAATTATCACTCAATAAATATATGACATATTATTTTCTTAAAAATAAAATTCTTAGTTTTTAAAGAAAATTTCTAGAACTCCCGATGAGTAGTAATTAACATTACTAACGATGAACACTGATAAATTAATTTATAAAATGTTGAAATTATAAAGTACTCACCGTATAATTATAATTTAGTTGAAAATCTAATTGTAATTTATTTAAAATACAATATTAATTATATTAATTTTTAATCTAATTTTTTTTATTATAATTAGATCAAATAATAATCCCTAAATTAAAAAACCTTAATTTATTTTAAATCTTTGAACTTTGAAATTCCGGCCACAGTCGATATCCTCTGTTGCTGTCGATTTAATATTGCATTCATCTCTCCCGACGTGGACGCCGTCCATCGCCGTTCGTGCAAACAACCCGTGAAGGTAAGCTTGATTAATTTTATTTTATTTCGAATTTGGACCAAATCGTCACTGGTGGGTGGTGACTCATGATCACTGGCTATCAGAGCCATCACCAGCAATAGCCGTGGATGTCAGTGTGAGAGTGTCCCTCTAATCATCCTTCGTTAATCCCCTTGTTCCTAAACCCTAACAATAACCATAATCTTGATTTTCCAATTAATCCAATTATAGAACCCTAATTTTGAAATTGATTACCATAATTCCCAAATTATAACCCCAATCAAAAGTATTGAACGTTAATTCCTACATTCGAACTGTTTTTTAAATGAACCGAGCTTGAACGAAAAATGTTATATTGGTGTTCGTTTATTTATTTTTGAAGGTGTTCCTGTTCAGTTAAATTTTCAATATCGTGTTCACGTTCATGTTCGTTTATTTATTTTTAAAGATGTTCGTGTTCGTTTATTTATTGTTCACGAACATGTTCATTTAATGTTCATGAACGTGTTCATTTATATGTTCACGAACACGTTCATGAATATGTTCGTTTAGTGTTCGTTTAATGTTCGCGAACATGTTCGTTTATATGTTCACGAACGGGTTCCTGAACATGTTCGTTTAGCGTTTGTTTTTATCGTTAGTTTATATATTCGATTTTTAATTTCATTTGCAAGCTAAAAAATGATAAAATTACGCCACTGATGCTTAAACTCTTTAAAATTCATAGTTTAAAATACAACTTTTATTATGTGTTCTATTTAATCCTTATCTTCACCAAAATTTAAAGAGTAAAAAATAAAAGGAAAAGGAGAATCGGGTAAACGAGTTTATTCATGAACATAAATGAACAAGTTGATAAGCGAGCTCATAAACAAACTGAACACACCTCTGTTCGTGTTCGTTTGTTTATTAAATGAACATAAAATTTTTGTTCATGTTCGCTGATTTAGCTTAACAAACGAACATAAACGAACGTTATACGAATGGTTCACGAACAGTTCATATAACACTCTGTCCACTTACAACCCTAGTTGTCATCTGATTGTGTTAGTGATTTTATACTTATTAATCATAACTGCAAAATGGAACGATGGAGGAGCTAAAGGGGAGGGATGCCAATTTAAAAAATATAGAAAGATGGATTAAATGATAAAACATTTAAATGTTGAAAATTAAGTTTTTAGAATTAGAATTAAAATAAAGTGTAAAAACTGAGAAAATAATTTATTATTACATCAATTTTATAAACTTTTTTTTTAAAAATTGGTTATCATTTTATAATATTTTATAGTTGAAAAACTCAACAAAAATGTTCATATAGCTAAAGGAATACTTGTGTGCTTCACTCTTATTTTAATAATTATTTGAGCTGACTTAATATTTTCCAGCAATACTAAAATGAGACCACAAATTCAAACACGTTTAAACGTGCAATAATGCATAAAATCTAAACATCGTCAACGTCCATTTCATTATCTTTGAATAAATACTGTCTTGTAAAAAATTAATAAAAAAATGTTATATTCAAAAGTAAAAAGAATAATTGAATCTTACCATTCATATTCAATGCCAACTTCCGAATATTCGAGTTATTCGAGTTTAATTAGGTAAATATGACTACTTTTCATTCATATCCACTTGATAACGCTTATTACACTTAAAATAGCTACAAACATTAGTAAAATTAAAATAACTGCTACAAGATGCATTCATTAAGTAAAAAGGATCAATTTTATATGGTAAAAGTGTAAAAATAACAGCCTAAACAAATCTGTCTCGTGGTAGAACCCCTAGAAGTTAATCCGATGCCCTATGCCACCCATATGCACCAACAACTTGATAGCCGACAATTTTCCAGCTAAATATCTACCAAAAATCATAGAGAATTTTCTATGACAGAATGGATGGAAATGAAATCAAGCCTGTTACTCGCATTTGATGGACCTGTATATGTGACGGACAAAGAGTAGCGAGGCACGGAAACCAACTGTCCCGAGCATGAGGAAGAATCCGTAGCAGATGCAGGCCATATAACCAAAGAAGAACGAGGTTTGCATAAAGCCAGACATGTCAGATCGAGCGTAGTAATAATACAAGCAGTAGGCATAGATAAAGATGCCGGTTGATCCACCACAGATGAAAGACCTGTAACAAATTAGAGACTCGGATTAGTGAAGTGAAAGACTAGTAACGCTTAATGTCATCATTAATAAAGTCCATACCACCACTAAGTTTGAACGGAACAAAAAAGTTATGATCAAACAGATTCAACAATCAAACACGATAAAGAGGACAAATGAACCAACCCCAAGCTAACAGAGAATAATTTTCTCTTGACAATTCTTCAATTAAACACAATATTCATCAAAATGCCAAAACAATTTTCATGAACCGCAAACTGGAAGAGCGAAAGGGGAGAATAATAGAATGAAACTCCAAATTTTATAACATTTACGAAGTGCAAGGCTGAAAAGAAGCATAGATGTGAATGCAGAATTAGATAACTTATGTACCTCCACCACCATTCATGATCTTCAGCAGCAAGTTGGAAATATGTCAAAGCCACAGTTATAAAGCAGTGACAATCAGAAGGATGATGAAGACAATAAACAAGATGCTGTATATGGTATAGATCCTGTGGCCCCAGACGCTGGCGAATATGTAGTAAAGCT